AAGAAGTCCACTGATCAGAGGCCCCCTTCGTGAGGTTTAGGAATCTTGCCCTCGTGCTCCCTTGTTACCAACACCAGCCATGTTTGTTCATTAGAATACAGATACAACACAACAAATACTGCATGCCATGTAATTTTTTATATTATATATGATATTCATAGTGATGTAAGTGTGGGGCTGCCTTTTATATTTTAATTTGTAATACCTGTTAGGATTAAACATGCTTATCTTTTCTTGTGGAAGCCATTTCTTTTAGTTTCCTCTCAACAATTAATTAAATTCAGTGTTATTTATGTACAGTACTGAGCCTTCAATCATGAATTTGATGAACTGTGTTAAAAGAAATTGTAGCCTCTACGCGAACATATGAAATGCCAATAAATGCAATACAGCTGCAATAATGAAATTAAATTACATCAAACTTTTATTTTTCACTCAAAACAGCTTACAGGCACATATGATATATTGCACAGCATAAAGAGATCATGTAAATTGCTGCATTATGTGACAACAGACAACTGTTGCGCCCCTCCTCGTGGGGCCCATGACCCTAAATAAGGCGTTATTTTGCGTTTAAGATGCTGAGATATTTACTGCAGAACTGCCTAACCTTCGCCTCAACAAATCGTCAACAATTTCGCGGAGCATGTGGCCCAAAGTAGAATGTGCGCAGCCTTATGATATGCCTTCAGACTGTCCATTGCTTTTTCCATCTATTGCCCATGGATTGCAAACGAAGTAGGGAGCAAAATTTTGCTTACATTATGCTTGGGCCACGTCTTCATGTTATCCTTCCCAGTTTTGCATCTGAATTCGGGTGGGGGAGAGTAACGCCATCTCCAGTCAAAGAAGCCTAGAATCGTGCTTCCCAAGCTAGCATTCACTGTTTAGCCATCAAATCGCTGTGTTTACACAGTGCCCGTCTGACTGGTTTACACCGGTTTACACCGACAGGACGGCTGCTGCAACAAGCACTTCCGGCCGCGAAATGAAGTGCATTTGTTGTAGGGTTATGGCGCTACCCGTGGTTTGTCGCGTAAACTTGTTATAGCTGGGCCCTCTGTGATTCATTGCTGGACCGGCCCTGGACGTCCAACAGCTCCTCTCTTCACAGTAACTCGCAGAGACGAGCTTCTTTCATTTAACCCTTCACATTCCAACAGAAACTGAATAGGCAGATTCTAAGGATTTATTTCTTTGGAAATTTTATTTTAAATACAATTAAATCAAGTTATTTTGGTAAAACTAATGAAAAATATAACTAAAAAAATATATTAAATTTTTTTTTTTTTTTAAATGTTTTTAAATATTATTTTGTAGAATATCTTAGGCCCTCACAGGGGGCCTAGAGGGCCCTGACGGCTCGCCACTGAATTACAGAAATGTCCTTGAGCATACTCACTCCTAATGACTATTATAATCTACTTTTAGTTTTCCTTCTTCAAATTGGACTTTTCAGCCTCTCAAAAGTCCTTTAATCAGCAGCATTACGGGAAAAATAACCTCCCGATTGATATGAAACCAAGGCCGAGGTAGAACTGATTAGAGTTTGGAGTGGATCCAATTCACAGGGGCAGAATCATGCATCTTTTTTTACTTCTAGAGGCAGCCTTGGCCTTCTAGTTTTAAACCTCTTTACCTTGCAATTTTCTTTGGTTACATGCAACGTGAGACAATCCTTACTTAACTGCATCCCTGTGTCATTAAACCATTCACTGCTTCAATGACAGCAGCAGCAGCAGCGGCAACAGCAGCAGCAGCACGGCTATCCTTCTCCATTTCTGCGTGTAAATATTATGAATGTCGCGTACACAAAGGACTACAAACATGAAGATCATTTCATCGGCTAGCATGCAGAATGAGATTAATCCTACACAAACAGTATATCCTGTCGTAGGCTTCCTCCTTACACAACTATGCACACTCTCAATGCCCACAAAGGCTCAGGAGCCCCCTGAGAAGGAGACCGTTTACAGGAGTCCTTCCTGTCTTCAGCCCTGCTGATATCTGACGGAGACGCAGGAAGACTCTGATTAGTTTCCATGCGTTTCCTAAAGACCCTTCCCCACCATCCCGCCCCTTCCTCATCCTCTCACACGCCTCGACACACTCGAATGTTTCTCCTCAGAACAATCTATAGAGTGTAGAAATGCAGTGGTACAAAGTACATTAACTTAAATACTGTACTTAAGAACACATCTTGAGGCACTTATTTGGATTATTTCTTGATAAATTAGCAGTTTGGAGACGTCCATGGAGCTGTAAAGGGTATTTGTTCTTATATTTTATAGACTAAATGATGAATAAACTAATACAATTTAACAAAGGTGTAAAGTAACAAAGTACCATACCATTTTTAGTTACTTACTTTACTTCAGTATTTCCACTTTTTGCTACTTCTTTCTTCGACTCCACTACAATTCAGAGGTAAATGGTGTACTTCTCCTCCACTACATGTATTTAATACCTTTAGTTATTTTACAGATGTGGATGAATGATGTGAAATCTAATCAAGTGTTAAATCAGACTTTAGTTCCACCTGGCACAC